CTGGAAAATAGTACTAAGTATCCCTTACTCATCCAGTTGTGGGGCACAGTCTTTCCACTTCCAACAGTGTCTGCAGCACTGGAACCCCTGGTTCATTAGCAGAATGTACCCTCCTTCACATGGGGTTTTGGGGCTGAGTTCATTGTTCACAACAGTGCAGTGCCTTGGGAGACAGAGATCTGAGTTCAGGTCCTGATTTCATCATTTTTTTTTTTTTTTTTTTGAGACGGGGTCTCGCTCTGTTGCCCAGGCTGGAATACAGTGGCGTGATCTTGGCTCACTGCAAGCTCCGCCTCCCGGGTTCACGCCATTCTCCTGCCTCAGCCTCCCAAGTACCTGGGATTACAGGCGCCCGCCACCACGCCTGGCTAATTTTTTTTGTATTTTTAGTAGAGACGGGGTTTCACCGTGTTAGCCAGGATGGTCTCGATCTCCTGACCTCGTGATCCGCCTGCCTCGGCCTCCCAAAGTGCTGGGATTACAGGCTTGAGCCACCACACCTGGCCGATTTCATGTTTAAACAGTTGTCAAGTTCCTTTACATATTTCAGTCTCATTTTCCTCATCTGTCCAAAATGTACCTGTGTTACAGGGTAGTTGGGAGGTTTCAACAAAATAATGTATGTAAAATACCTAGCTGGGTGTTTATGCCTAGGAAGTTCTCAGGAAATGTGAGCTATTATCATTTATTTCAGGCCTACTTTGTGCCTGGCATCTCAGGGGAGGAAGGCACAAAAGTGAAAACAAAGCCTGGGTCTTGCCCCCAAGGAGTTTGAAGCTTTGTTGATAGGTAGACTAGAGTAAAAGGGTCTTACGCACTGGAGATCGGATCAGAGACATAAGAACAACTGCCAATTCTTTTTTATTGTTGTTATTATTATTATTATTATTATTATTATTATTATTTTGAGATGGAGTCTGGCTCTGTCACCCAGGCTGGAGTGCAGTGGCACGATCTGGGCTCACTGCAAGCTCCGCCTCCCGGGTTTAAGCCATTCTCCTGCCTCAGCCTCCCGAGTAGCTGGGACTATAGGCGCCTGCCACCTTGCCCGGCTAGTTTTTCATATTTTTTAGTAGAGACAGGATTTCACCGTGTTAGCCAGGATGGTCTCAATCTCCTGACCTCGTGATCCGCCCGTCTTGGCCTCCCAAAGTGCTGGGATTACAGGTGTGAGCCACCACGCCCGGCAACTGCCAATTCTTGAGGCTCCTTATGAACCAGGTTCTGTGCTGAAAGCTTTATATGCATTATCTCATGAGATTTCCTCACAATCCTATGAGGTAAGTGCTATTAGGATTAGAAAATCAAAGATCAAAGATCAGAGAATCTTTTAGGAAATTTGTGTGGGTCACACAGCTAATAGTGTCAGGGCCTGGGTTTGAACCCAGGGGTGTCTGACTTCAGATTCTTTACTCCTTCTACTCCATTTGAGTTGGACCTTGAAGGATGAGTCAGATTTGGGCACATGGGGATGGAGGAGAGGAGGCGCCTGGAGAATAGGAGGATATGGAGCCAGGTAAGCAAAGCCTAGGAGATGGGAAAGTATAGGGCATGTATGACAGAAACTCTGAGGTTTTTTTTTTTTGAGACAGGGTCTTGCTCTGTGACCCAGGCTGGAGTACAGTGGCATGATCTTGGCTCAGTGTAACCTCCGCCTCCTGGGTTCCAGCGATTCTTCTGCCTCAGCCTCCCGAGTAGCTGGCATTACAAGCATGCACCACCATGCCTGGCTAATTTTTTTTTTTTTTTTTTTGTATTTTTAGTAGAGATGGATTTTTGCCATGTTGACCAGGCTGATCTCGAGCTCCTGGCCTCAAGTGATCCACCCACCTCGGCCTCCCAAAGTGCTGGGATTACAGGCATAAGCCACCGCGCCCGGCCTGTTCATTTATTTTGAGATAGTCTTACTGTGTCGCCCAGGCTGGAATGCAGTGATATGATCATGACTCACTGCAGCCTTGACCTCCCTGGGTTCAGGTGATCCTCCCACCTCAGCCTCCTGAGCAGCTGGGATTACAGGTATGTGCCACCACTCCCAGCTAATTTTTCTATATTTTGGAGAGACAGAGCTTTACCATGTTGCCCAGGCTGGTCTCGAACTCCTGGGCTCAAGAGATCTGTCCACCTTGGCCTCCCAAAGTGCTGGGTTTACAGGCATGAACCACTGTGCCCGGCCTGAAACTGCAAGTATTTAGTCTGGTTCCATGTGAGGGCCTCTTTTGGTCCATTTCACAGAAATCTTAGCCAAAATATATTAAGTACTTACCATGCATCTGACATTTCTCTACGGACTTTATAACCAACACCTTACTAAATCCTCACAGTGAGTGGAGAGGTCACTTGTGCACCCCCATTTCAAAGATGAGGAAATTGAGGCTCAGAATGGTCTGACCACGATCACAATGCTAGGAACGAATGGGGCAGAAATTCAAGCTCAGGGAGGCAGATTTCAGATCTGTGCCCCACACCTCTTGCGAGAATTAGTCAGTTCCCAGGCAGTGAAACTCTAAAGCCAGCCCTAGCTGCCCGAAACTCAACCACAGAGAGCTGGCTCTCAGCCCCTCACTGGCTTCCAGCCCCTCACTAGCTCCCTTCTTTTCTCCCAGCTCCACCCTGCCACCCCCATTTCCCTCCCTGGCCCTGGGGCTCTGCTCCTTCCCCAAACCTGCTCCACCACAATTCCTTCCAGGTTCCCTCATCTGTAAAATGGGGATAATAATAGTGTCTGCCTCAGGGTAGTGTTGTGAGGATCAGAGGAGGGGCTCAAGGTGCTTAGAACCCAGCGTATAGTAGGTTCTCAATAAAAATCAGTGACCTCACCACCACTGTCATTTAAGTAGTGTCTCTGAAGTCCTCTGAAACTGACTGACTGATAGCATTATCCACATTTGATGGTTGGGGAAATTGTGGTTAAGAGAAGTGAAGCAGCAGCTGTCCAGTGTCACTTAGCTAGGAAGTAGAGAGCGGGACTTAATCTGGGCTTCCTGATTTTCTGACTTCAGATCTCATTAACTTCTCTTATTCTTTGCAGCCAGGCAGATGAGTGAATCATAATCAGTATTTATTACCTGCCTTCTGCACTCCACGCCAGGCCCTAGATGCTAAGGGGCATTCTAGAGAGATCTGACCTAGATTTTTGAAGGAGCATAGAACCTAACTGATAAACAAGGTATGAAAACAAAGCCTCGTTTTGTTGAGGTAGAACACACAAAGGGTCCCAAGAGGGCAAGAATCATTTGACTGAGAGGAAGCAGGCAGGGGAGGCTTCTTGAAGGAGGTGAAGTTTAAGCTGGCCCACAAAGGACCAGTGAGATACGTAGACTAGAGTAAAAGGGTCTTATGCACTGGAGATAAGTTCAGAGATGTGACCGGGCGTGGTGACTCACACCTGTAATCCCAGCACTTTGGGAGGCCGAGTAGGGTGGATCGCCTGAGGTCAGGAGTTCGAGATCAGCTTGGCCAACATGGTGAAACCCCGTCTCTACTGAAAATACAAAAATCAGCCAGGCATGGTGGCTGGTGCCTGTAATCCCAGCTACTTGGGAGGCTGAGGCAGGAGACTCACTTGAACCTGAGGCAGGAGAATTGCACCGCTGCATTCCAACCTGGTGACAGAGTGAGACTCTGTCTAAAAAAAAAAAAAAAGTCAGAGATATAACAACATCTGCCAATTCTTGAGCCTCCTTATGATCCAGGTTCTGTGCTGAAAGCTTTACATGCATTATCTCAGATTTCCTCATGATCCTATGAGGTAAGTGCTATTAGGATGAGAAAATCAAGGATCAAGGATCAGAGAATTTACAAAATTTGCCTAGGTCACACAACGAATAAAGTGTCTGGGCCTGGGTTTGAACTCAGGGCTGTTGGCCACACAGCCTGGGCTCTTAATCATCATGGGTTATTGCCACCTTGTCCTCAACCATCTAATGAGGAATTAAGCTGTGGACTGTCTCTGGAGGGCTTTGAATGCCAAGGCTCAGACTTGCATAAAAATCACACAGCACCAGGCAAGAATCAGACCTGGAATGTAGCAGCAGCTTCTAGCAGCTTTACCACTCACTACCAAAGGTTGCTTCTCTGAGCCTCTCTAAACTGGAGTGATGAGGAATATATTATTAGCAATGAAGATTTTTGAATGAGTCAGGGAGGCTCTTGTGACAAAAGGATTGTTTAAAAGAAACCTGGAGATGTTCAAACATTTACTGAGTGTTGGGTCCTAAGAATACAACTGTGAATAAGACAAAGCTCTGCAGTGGGCCTCTGAGCCTGCTGTGCCGGCAGGCAGCTTGAGAGGGTAGGAGAAGAACCCCTTAACTGGAAAAACAAGGGCTCCAGAGCTGGGACCTGTCCCAGATTCCATTGCCAGCTCTCAAATCAGGGAATCTCTCTGTATGACCTTGGGCAAGTTACCCAGCCTTTCAGACTGTCAGTCTTTATCATGGGGATCATCATTCCTCTTCCCAGGATTGTTGGAATAAATTAACCAAAACAACCCTTGCAAGGATCTAGCATGGTGCTTGGCATCCTGCAGGCGCTGAATAGATGTTAGTTTTCCCTGTAAAGAAGTAGACTAGTTTGCCTCCATCCCTCACCCCTCTGCCATTAAACGGAACAAGTTCCTGGCCTTCATTTTAGCAGGAAAGGGGATATGAATGCACATGTGCTAGCTAAGCAACAATGCAAACTAACAAAAGGGCCTGTGGCCTGGGGAATACACTGCTGAGTCTGGGCTCAGGTCGGGACCCGGCGCCAAAATGTTTCCCTTCAACCCCAGGGAATCCGGGCCCATTTCTCGGGGCGCTGTGCTCTGTTCTGGCCGCCTCTGCACTGTGCATCCCAGAACCACCCTGTCTCCGTCTCGCCGGCTGCTAGCTAGCGCGTCCAGAGGCGGGCGGCACCGACAGCAGGTGTGGCTGCCCCTTTAAGCAGCGAAGCTCGTGTTGCAATCGCCGCCTCGAGGACTGGTTCTTTCCGGGGGGTGGAGCCTGTACTCTTGCAGCAGCCAACCGGAGCGCGGCATTTTCCGCGGGAGATCCGAATTTCGCGGCACGCCGTTTGGCGCTAAAAAAAAAAAAAAAAAGAAAAGAAAAAAGAAAAAAAAAGAGGCAGAGAAAGACTCAGGGACTAGAGAGCGGGCCGCAAGGAAGTCGGTGCAGTCGAGACCCCCTTCCCCGTCCCAGCGCATCGCGTCTCCACCGAGCTCGCGGGCACGCCGGGGACTCCTCCCCAGAGCCGGCCGGACCCCAGGTGCCGAGGCCTTGGGGGACGCGGGGCGTCCCGGGTCGCGGTGCCCTCGGGGCGAGACAGCCCCTGGCAGTGCCACCACCGCAACCGCCGGTCGATCTCCAAGCGGCGATCTCCAAGCGCTGCTCTGCTCGGCTACGGGCCAGGAGGGGAGGGTCCGGCCTTGCCCCGCAGACGTCCATTGGTGGCTTCCCCCGGCCTCCGCGCCATGCCGCGGGCCGTGTGAGCGGCTGCAGCACCGGAACCTGCAGGTGTCCGCGGGCGCGCCAGGCCCGTTTGGGTAGGGGGCGCCTTACTCGCTATGCTGCAAGGGCCCCGGGCCTTGGTTTCGGCCGCTGGGCAGCCCCCGAAGGTGGTGCCCGCGATGAGCCCAACAGAGCTGTGGCCATCTGGCCTCAGCAGCCCCCAGCTCTGCCCAGCTACTACCACCTACTACACGCCGCTGTACCCGCAGACGGCGCCTCCCGCAGTGGCGCCCGGCACCTGCCTCGACGCCACTCCCCACGGACCCGAGGGCCAAGTTGCTCGATGCCTGCCGGTAGGCCGGCTGCCGGTAATGCTGGGGCCCCCACCGCTTCCCCCTATGCTTTTCCAGGTGTGGGAAAGGAGGGAGGGGTGCCTGAGATCCAGTTTGAGTGGAGCAGGTAGAGTTTTGGGAAGAGGGAAGATGAGCTTTCAGTTTCCAGGACCCAGTGCCCCCAATATCTGAGTAGAAGACCCCTTCATTTTCAGACTTTGGATGAAGTAATCTCATCCATTCTAGTGGAGTGGAATGAGCACTGGATTGCGAGTCTGAAGGGAGACCCAACCCACTACTCCCAGTGCACTGTGTGACCTTGGGGAAGCCCATGCAGCCAAAGTTGCCGCCATTCATTCATTACTTCATTGTTTGGCCAGAAACCAGCACTGGGTGCCTGCTATTGTCCAGGCAAAGAGCGTGCCTGGGGACACTGTGGGACTTTGGTAAGACAGAGGGATAGGTCTAGTGAGTCTCTCAGGTTCAATCTGCCATGGACAGACTCCAAATTGTCCAGCCAACTCCTGGTATAGCCCCAAGTATCTGCCCTTGGTCCTCCTTTGGCCCAGTCTTCCCTCCCAGGCAGCCTGTAGCAGATAGAAATGTGGGCAGCCCCCTGGGTTCGGTTCAGATTGGCTGCTCTCTCCTTAAGCTCCCAGGCTCGTTGCCAGAGATGGCCCAAAGTGTAGTGGCACCAGGCTGCCTGCCGACCTGGGCTCAGGGTGTGTTTTGTGGGAGTGGAATTCCTGGAGCCCATGTGAATCAAAACAACTTTAGGGTGGGGGGTGGAATGGGAAAAGCCCGGGGAAGTGGGGGTGGTGGTGGTTGAGGAGCCTGGTTTCTGGTGTGACTCTGCCATTAATTCTCTGTGTGTCGTTGGACAAGTCTTGGCCCCAGTCTGGGCCTCAGTGTCCTCTCCTTGACAATGCGTGTGTGCACAGGGTGGCTGTGGGGCTAGCTCTTCTCTGCCACATTCAACTCCAGGTCCTGGGTTTTGGAAGCCGGCTCCAGGGAGAGGATTGGGGTGTTATAGGTTTGCTTAGTTGTGGGTGTGGTGAATAAGTTCAGGTACAAGGATAAGACCACCCCCCACTGCCCCAGAGGCATCTGGTCAGACCTGTGCTAGTCAGCAGGCACGGATGCCCAGCCAGCTCTGGATGCAGGCAGAGCCACCACTCCCTGCCAGTGGACTCAGGCTTTGCCCATGTTCAAAACGTTAACCTTCCCGGAGACCCTTCCTGCACATGATTTCTAACTAGGAGGGCAGTGGGCAGGAATGGTATTGTCCCCATATTACAGGTTAAGCAACTGAGGATAACTGGGATTGGTGATCTTGTGGTCAGCGTTTCATAGCCCAAAACATCTTTGTAGTTTGTGAAATAGGTGGCACTAGTAGCTCCATGTTACGGGGGAAACAGGCTCAGAGAGGGGATGTGACCTAAGGTCAGAGATGGGGATGGGGTAGAGTGATGGGACTCACAAGGCAGTAGGCTCTTCTCTGTTTTATTTTTTGCAGAGACAGGGGTCTCTCGATGTTCCCCAGGCTGGTCTCAAACTCCTGGGCTCAAGCGATCCTCTTGCCTCGGCCTCCCAAAGTGCTGGGATTACAGGCATGAGCTACTGCACCTGGTCAGGCAGTAGGCTCTTCTCTATGTAGCCTTGACTTTAATACTGCCTGACTTAGGAGCTGAGTACCCCCCAGGGAAGGGAACTTTGCAGCAGGCCCACTCTCCTCTGGCCAGCTGCTTTCACACTGGAATTTTCAGTAACAGCTGTGGTTTTACACTGCTTTGAACCCTCCCAGAGGAGCCCAAGTGCATCTTATCTGTACCTCCCTCCCAGAGGGGCTCAGTGATCTTAGCAAGAAGGTCTCTTTTTTACTGAGTGCCTCTCATGTGCCAGACACTGCTTGGCGCTCTTCACGTTCATTATCTTGGTCAAGATGTTCAGAATGAGGCATCTTGCAGATAAGGAAACTGAGCAAAGAAAGGAAGTCACTTGCCTGGGTCACAAGCAAAGAAGCAGGAGAGTCTCCTTGCGGCAGACCACCCTAAAGGCCTGCCAGGCCCAGAGCTCCCACTCCTGTCAATCCCCAGATGCCCGGGGCCCAGCCCCGTGGGTAGGCCTGCCCTCTGCTTACTCATTTTACAAGGGTGTGACCTGGAGCAGCTCCAAACCCAACCCTGGGTGTGGCCACTTGCTTTGTGGCCAGGCTGCAAAGTGCAGGGTGAGCAGGATTTGTTGGGGAGCTTCTGTTTAAAGCGACCTCAGGCACTGTCCAAAGATGGCAACCAAGTTCAGTGGCAGAATGAAGGCTAGAACCCAGATCTCCTGGCTCCCTGTCCAGAGCTCTTTCCAAGTCCTCTGAGGAAAGCTCAGGGAATGCTCCTTTATCGCATGCCTCCTCTGGCCAGGCGCATGGCATCATTCTCTCTCATCCCTGCAGGAAGCTCTGCCCAGGCTGGAGTGTAGTAGTATCATCTCGGCTCACTGCAGTCTCCGCCTCCCAGGTTCAAGTGATTCTCCTGCCTCAGCCTCCTAAGTAGTTGGGATTACGGGCGCCTGCCACCATGCGGGGTTATTTTTTGTATTTTTAGTAGAGATGGGGTTTCACCATGTTGGCCAGACTAGTCTTGAACTCCTGACCTCAGGTGATCTGCCTGCCTTAGCCTTCCAAAGTGCTGGGATTACAGGCGTGAGCAGAAAATTTGTCTGCATTTTCCAAATTTCCTCTTGTGAGGCAGAAAGAACACAAAAATTTTAACACACAACTCTACAAGCCAGGTCAGGTGAGGAGATGTAGGCTCAGAGAGGCAGACAGTGAATCCCAGGCTGCCCAGCTACCAAGTGGCAGAGCTGGGATCTGAAGGCAAGATTCGACCCCTTACATTTGCTCCTACCCCCACCATCTAACTTAGGGCTTAGGAGAGACCAGGCTCCACTCTGTGTGACCTTGGGCAAGTCACTTCCTCTTCCCCAAGTCCCAGTTTCCTCACCTTGGTGCCCGTAAGGGGGTTGTGCCTGGGGATCTCTGACCCTCTGCACTTCTGCAGCTGCCTGAGTAAGGAGCTGTACTCTTCTCCATAGGGGTTGGCAGGGTGGGCTTGAGTCCTGACCGGGCCTTGAAGATCCAGCCAAAGGGGCTACCTAAGAGCGTCCAGGATAGAGCTAAGCCGGTCTCTGGCTGTGGCCATAACCTTTGCTCTCCTCCTCCCACCGCAGTCTCTTTTCAGCTCACCCTTGAACTTTCCCCTTTTCCCACTGGTGCTCCCCATACGTCAGTGCTAGTAGCCCCCCGATGGGAGCACTCCCTGTGGGCAAAGCGCTTTGCTGCACTATCTCGCTGAATCCTCAGCATAGGTGGAGACAATGATGCCCATTTTATAGGTGACTCGAGGTCAACTGATTTCCCAGCTAAGAAGGGGAAGGCCTAGATGCAAACCCAGGCCGGTCTGACTCCAAGACCTGTGCTCAGCCTCACCTTGATCCTGATCCTCCTGGGCTTGTCCTCTGCCACCTGTGTTCTGCAGGTTCAGCCCAAGCCATAGGCTGACTTTACTCTGGGCACTGCCCAAAGGTGTCAGGGAGGTATCCTTAGGGGGACACTTTGCTGCACTGGGACCCTGGGAGTGCAGACTAAGGGTAAAGGAGGGTGAGAAAAGAGAGACGGCTGTGTGTGTGTGTGTGTGTGTGTGTGTGTGTGCACGTGCATGCAGTGATGGGGACAGGTGGGCATAGCCCAGGCCTTGGCCCAAATTCTAACAAATCCTGGGGCAGCGTGTGTGGGATGGAGCTGAGGCAACCTGGTACATGGCTTTGGAGTCAGGCCTGGGTTCAGACCCTGGCTCTGGCCTTTGTGTGACCTTGGGCATGTGCCTACCCTCTGTAAGTCTCCATTTCTTGTCTTACGAGAGCCAGTGCCAATACTGATGCGGTAGGACTGTTATGAGTATGTAATAGGCCCAGCATAGATATTCTGTGCAAGGTCTTCCCGGGGCTCTTCCTGGTGTGTTCTGTGCGGGGAGGCGGGTGTGGCTGGGGAGGCTCTGGGCTGCCCCACGTCTGCATCAAGTAGAACTCCACCTGACCGTCCCTTCTCCCTGCCCTTGGTGCTCCTGCCGGGGGATATATGAAGAATACTAGGATGCGCAGCCTTGGTCAGGATTGATGGAGGACTCAGAGCTCCCCAAGCCTCAATTACTTCAGCTGTACAATGGGGATTAGTGGCGTGGGAAGATTCAGGGAAGTGATGAATGTTGGGGCGTGGTGCAGGGCATGTGGAAGGTCTCTGCCAGTGCCTGGCCCTTTCTCTACTGACAGGGTGGGGCTAAATCCCTAGAATATAGGTTTTCACCAGTTAGGAAGGTAGAAAAGGAATATTCAAGAGACTCATTCAAGAATGAGCAGTAAAGTGTTTGGATGGTTTCCAGGTCTGGGTAGTGGTGGAGAGCAGGAGTGTCATATCCAGCCTCCTCAAATCAGCCCAGGAAGACTTCCTGGACGGGGCAGGAGTGGGGGCAGGGGAACTGACAGCAGGAAGAGCTGTCACCACCCCCAACACCTGTCAGCCCAGCTGTGCTCAGCAGCAGTTAGAAGTCTCAGCCCTGCCGAGCATGACCTCAACACCAAATGTTAAAATAGGCTTCCCTGTCCAAGCCGGGGTAGGGGTGTCTGGGGGATCCAGAGTTGGAAGGAGGAAAGAAATGGGCTTGATGACCCCCAGAAGGATGTATCAAGGAAGAGGTCGAGATTAGATTTTAAGGAAGGGACTCTGCATTTCCTGAACACCTACTGTGTGCTGAGACACAGGCTGAGAACTTTACAGAATTTAAAGGAGCAGGAGCTACCCAGGGTCTTTCTCCAGCATGCAGACAGGTAGCTAAATAAGTGCTTCAAAGGGAAGCGACGCGGGGATTAATTCAGCCTGTTCCAGGGTTTTTAAGATCCAGAGGCTGCCCAGGTGGTGCCTTCCTTGAATCCTTACAATAGCCCCTTGAGGTAGGCATTTTCTACCCCATTTACAGAGGAAGAAACTGAGGCTCCTAGATACGGAGCTCGTACAGTGAGCCTGCAAAGGAGCTGGAGATTCAAGCATGGGTCTCTGACCTATGTCCCAGTGTCCCAGTGCCCCAGCCCTGCCCCTGCCCTGCCTCTGCCCAGCCCTAACCAGGAGAGAGGCCCTTTCCGGGCCAGTGCAGCTCTGGGCCTAATTGGGGCCCGGGTGGCGACAGGGTGGAGAGGAGCAGATGGGTCTGTGGTTTGATTTCCCCGGCAGGTGTTTCCCAAGCTTGGCGGGAACAGAGAGGGGGAGCGGGAGGGGGGTGGCCTCAGCTGCTTGTCCTTAGACACGGGAAGGATTCATTGTCTGCGGGAAGGATTCATTGTCTGCCCCTCTCGGCAAAGAAAGAATGGCAAATGCAGTCTATTCAGGAGGCCCTGGGGCCCTCAAGCTGGAGCCCAAACATGGGGGTGGGGATGTTTGTACTGCTTTCCACTGTGGGCACCTCCCTGGGGTGTGGCACTGAGCCAGGAAGTCCACTGGGTCTGGGCGGATGCCCAGCCCCACCCTGATAAGGACCAGCTGTGGGACTGTGATGGGCACTCAGTCTGGCTGGGCCAGCTGCTTCTGTAGGGGGCCCTTTCCCCACCCTGATGTGGTTTAGGCCCTACCCACTGCTTCCTCCTGGTATCATCCTCTGGGTGTGGTGGGGTGAGAAGCGGGTGTAGGAGCAGGCTTGAGGCCTGTGGTTAAGGAACCCTGAGCCCCTGGCCGGACTGACTTTGGTAGGGTCTCAAGTGCCTGGGCCTCAGAGGATGGGAATTTTATTTGCTCTTCAGAAAACAAAACTTCCCCTGAAAGCTCACTTCCTCAGGTCATTGATATTTTCCTATCAAGTACAGCAGGGCTTCACCAGGACTGGCGGTAAACTGAGGCACAGAGGTGGCTGCTAAGTGGCCTCATCGCTTTGGCCCCATATCAGGGAAAGACTAAAGGAGGAATGATTCTCAAACTCTGCCTCTCTCTTCCCCTTCTCTCCAAGGCCAAAAGGAAGCTGGATCTGGAGGGGATTGGGAGGCCCGCTGTCCCTGAGTTCCCAACCCCCAAGGGGAAGTGCATCAGAGTGGATGGCCTCCCCAGCCCCAAAAGTAAGCAGTGCTGATGGGGCCTCTGGGGTGGGGTGGGGCAGGGACAGAGGGCAGTGCCCTGCCCAATCACTGGGAGTCATATTTGGATCACTTTCCAGTTTGCAAAAGCTTCCTGTGCATTTTATCAAAAGCTTCCTGTGCATTTTATCACTTGATCCTGCCGGGTAGGTAGGCTTGTCTCTCTTTACTAATCAGGCAACTTGAGACTCTGAGAGCTTGAGTGACTTGCCCATAGTCTCAGACTGGAGTCAGGACTAGAGCCTGGACATGTAAGTCTTACACTACTTCTATATTTTTTGCTTTTTGTTTTTGTTTTTTGTTGTTGTTTTGAGACAGGTCTCGCTCTGTCACCAAGCGTGGATTGCAGTGGTGCCATCTTGGCTCCCTGCAACCTCCACCTCTGGGGTTCAAGCAACTCTCTCACCTCAGCTTCCCAAGTAGCTGGAACTACAGGTGCATGCCATCATCCCTGACTAATTTTTGTATTTTTAGTAGAGACACAGTTTCCCCATATTGGCCAGGCTGGTCTCGAACTCCTGACCTCAAGTGATCCACCTGCCTCGGCCTCCCAAAGTGCTGGGATTACAGGCGTGAGCCACCGTGCCCAACCAGTCTCGCACTACTTCTAACACGCCATGTACTGCTCTCGTGATCTAAATGCAATGACCAGTGTTTTACTTGGGAATTTATTATTTTTAAAAAGTTTTAATGTTTAGGTCAATGTAAATTTTTCTCAATCAGAGGAGCAGGGGCTAACCAGGGTCTGTCTCCCACATGCAGACAAGGAGCTGAACAAGTGATTCAAAGGGAAAGGAAGCACAGATTAATCCAGTCTCTGCCACCCCAGAGGTTTTTAAGATCCAGAGGCTGCCCAGGTGTGCCTTCCTAAAGCTAAGTTGGAGGGGGTTGCTGCCTCTTGATATTTTCAGTCAATATCCTGGATAGGCCGGGCGCGGTGGCTCACGCCTATAATCCCAGCACTTTGGGAGGCCAAGGCGGGCAGATCACCTGTGGTCAGGAGTTCCAGACCAGCCTGGCCAACATGGTGAAACCCCATCTCTACTGAAAATACTGACATTAGCTGGGCGTGGTGGTGCATGCCCGTAAGCCCAGCTACTTGGGAGGCCGAGGCAGGAGAATCGCTTGAACCTGGGAGGCAGGTTGCAGTGAGCCGAGATCATGCCATTGCACTTCAGCCTGGGAGACAGAGTGAGACTCCATCTCAAAAAAAAAAAAAAATTCCGGGTTAGAGCAGGAGTTTAAGCAACTGTGTTTGGAAGGAACACTAATTTTGGGGGTCCAGGGAAGCCTATGCCCCGACCTGACAGTTCACTCCTGTGAACCTTAGTTGTCTCGTGTGAAAGGAGGCATAGCTAGATCAGGAATGGCAAGAAAGTTTCCTCTACATTTGATTGGTCAAAGCTGCCCAAAGCACTGTCTTAAAGGATCCTAAGGCTCATGATAACTGGTCCTCTTCCAGAGGAACCTAAGACTCTCTAAAACTCAGGCTCCGGAATTATTAGACTGGCCACTAACTTGCCATATGACTTGGAAGTCACTCGATTACAAAAGTCCCCTTGTGGTTTAAGATGCTGCAGCTGAGATGTGGTCTTGCAACATCAACCTCATTTGAGAAAGGGACCTTTTTCATGAACCTCCCCCACTTTATGTTACAGGACCGATTTTTTTCAGATCACTGTGATTCACATGGGAAGAAAAAGCAAGTGCATATCTATAAAAATGCTCTTAAATCCAGGCTTATCGTTTCTACCCTATGCTAATTCCAAACTCCGGACATTTAAGTGGCAGGATAGGGTAATGCCTAAGAAGGAAAACTCCGGGCCGGGTGCAGTGGCTCACGCCTGTAATCCCAGCACTTTGTGAGGCCGAGCCGGGCACGATGACGGGCACCTGTAGTCCCAACTACTCAGGAGGCTGAGGCAGGAGAATGGCGTGAACCCGGGAGGCGGAGCTTGCAGTGAGCCGAGATTGCATCACTGCACTCCAGCCTGGGGAACAGAGCGAGACTCCGTCTCAAAAAAAAAAAAAGAAGGAAAACTCTGGAGCCAGACTGCCTGGATTTGAATTCCAGCTTTGCCACTTTCTAGCTGAGTGAGCTAAGCAAATTACTTAAACTGTGCCTCAGTATTCTCATCTATAAAATGGGGATGACTGTACAGCAACCTTATAGGGTGTTGTAGGACTTAAATGTGTTTGTATATGGAAAGCACTTAGAACAGTGACAGTAGTTGTGGATGGTGGTATGGCAGCCCTAAGCTGTGGTGGAAATGTGCATTTAACCAGGAGTCAGGACACTTGGCTTCCAATACTGCCCACTGGCTGTGAGACCTTAAGCAAGTCACCTTCCCTCTCAGATATCAGGTTTCCTGTCTGGACAGTGGTGGTAATGGATGCCTTTGCTCACAGTGCTTTGTAGACTGGAAAGTGGGTGAAAAGTTGGTACTTAATGAGCCTAGGTCAATGGACGAGGGTCCTGGGCGGGCCCTCCCTGATCTGTGACTGGGTCCCCTTCTTCCTCAGCCCCCAAATCCCCCGGGGAGAAGACTCGGTATGACACTTCGCTGGGGCTGCTCACCAAGAAGTTCATTTACCTCCTGAGCGAGTCAGAGGATGGGGTCCTGGACCTGAACTGGGCCGCTGAGGTGCTGGACGTGCAGAAGCGGCGCATCTATGACATCACCAACGTGCTGGAGGGCATCCAGCTCATCCGCAAGAAGGCCAAGAACAACATCCAGTGGGTGTGAGTGCCTGGGCGGCCTGTCGTACCCTCCAATGGGTACTTGCGCTGTGGGCGGAGCCAGAGGCAATAGCCAGTGGGTGTGAGTGGCAGGGGCAGGGCTGAGAGCAACATCCAATGGGCACAAGGGCTGAGGCGGACCAAGAGCAACATCCAATAGGCTTATTGCTGGGGGTAGAGCCAATGTATGGTGAGGAAGAGCGCCGTGTACCTGCTGAAGTAATAGGAGAACGTGATGCGGGGCAGAGTGACGAATGACATCTGGGAGGTGTAAAGGCCAAAGGGACCCCAGATTCTTCCTCTTGAGTCAGAGATCCTAATATCCACTCCTAGCTTAGGGCAGTACCCTGGGAGCTAAGTAGGGGGATTCCGGACTTCTTCCAGATCTGAGATAGGAGTACTCCAGCCTCCTCTCTCCATTTCTACAGGGTTTAAAGAACTGACCTACGGCCCTTGGCATAGGTGGCCTAAGAGAACCTAAGAGTTCAACCTAAGAGGTGGCCTACAGCCCTGGCCTAAGAGAACCCAGAGGGAGGAGTCAGGACTGAGGCTACTCCAGTTGGAGGAGGCTGGGGGATAGGGATGAACAGAATCGAGAGCCCCCCAGAAGTGGGGTTCAGGCCTTGACTTGTTTCTTCTCCCAAGCCCAACCCCCAAACCTTTCGTTCCAATCCCTGGTAGCTCCCTGAGAGCCAGGCATGACCACTGATTTACACAACCCAGGGGAGCACCCTCACAGAGTATTTTTTGAATGGCCTTGTTCTGGAGTTTCACTCACAGACTGACACTGGGGGGCTGCTCTGTTCCCAGAGGCAGGGGAATGTTTGAAGACCCCACCCGGCCTGGGAAGCAGCAACAGCTGGGGCAGGAGCTGAAGGAGCTGATGAACATGGAGGAGGCCTTGGACCAGCTCATCCAGAGCTGCTCTCTGAGCTTCAAGCACCTGACTGAGGACAAGGCCAACAAGAGATATCCTCCTTCGTTGGGGGAAGGTGTCAGGGAGCAGGAACCTGTTGCATGTTTATATCTATCCTGAGTTGATTCAGTAACTTACCCTAAGGGTCTGGCATCTGTTTCTTCCTTCCTGGGTGGCCTTTCTTCTCAAGTCTATTTTTTGAATTATTTATTTGTTTTTTTTTAGAGACAAGGGCTCATTCTGTCATCCAGGCTGTAGTACAATGGCATGATCATAGCTCACTACAGACTCACACTCCTGGGTTCAAGTGATCCTCCCACCACAGCCTCCCGAATAGCTGGAACTACTGGCGTGTGCCACCATGCCTGGCTAATTTTTTATTTTTTGTATAGACAGGGTCTCACTTTGTTGCCCAGGCTGGTCTCTAACTCTTGGCTTCAATCGATCCTCCCACTTCAGTCTCCCGTCTCCCAAAGTGCTGAGATTACAGGCATGAGTCACTGTGCCTGGCCTCAGTTTATTAAAGGTATTTTTTCATTATTGAAAATAAGCCAAGTACATTTGCCTTTAAATCTGGAAAATGGAGAAAAAGAATGACAAACTGCCACCTTAACATAGCCATTGTTCCTGAACTGCACACAGAATGTGTGTTATTTAAATATAGTTGTAATATAGTTGTGTGCCTGCTGCACATAGCTTTTCTTTCTTTTTTTTTTTTTTTTTTAAGACAGAGTCTCACTCTGTCGCCCAGGATAGAGTGCAGTGGCACAATCTTGGCTCACTGCAACCTCCACCTCCCGAGTTCAAGCGATTCTCCTACTTCAGCCTCCTAAGTAGCTGGGATTACAGGTGCCCGCCACCATGCCTGGCTAATTTATTTATTTATTTATTTTTTGAGATGGAGTCTCGCTCTTGTTGCCCAGGCTGGAATGCAGTGGTGCGATCTCGGCTCACCACAACCTCTTCCTCCTGGGTTCAAGAGATTCTTCTGCCTCAGCCTCCCAAGTAGCTGAGATTTCAGGTGCCTGCCACCACACCCAGCTAATTTTTGTATTTTAAGTAGAGACGGGGTTTCACCATGTTGGTCAGGCTGGTCTCAAACTCCTAACCTCAGGTGATTCACCCGCCTTGACCTTCCAAAGTGCTGGGATTACAGGAATGAGCCACCACACCCAGACTTTGTGGCCGGCTAATTTTTGTATTTTTAGTGGAGATGGGGTTTCACCACGTTCACCAGTCTGGTCTTGAACTCCTGACCTCAAGTTATCCACCCGCCTCGGCCTCCCAAAGTGCTGGGATTACAGGCATGAGCCACCGCGCTCGGCCAAATATCTTTATACATAGAACGCTTTCCCATATTTTTACTTGTTTTCCTAGGTCAGATCCCTAGGAGTGAAATGATGAGGTCAAAGAGCATGGACTTTGCTAAGGCTCTTTCATACATTTTCCAAAATTGTTTCATATCAAATTGGTTTTGGATATGATCTTGTATTTTTGGAAGGATGTGAGGCATTGTGAGAAATATAAAGAAATAAAACACGTCTTCCTACCTTCTCAGAACTAATGATCTAGTTTGAGAGATGAAGCCTTTATATAAAAAACTGATATAAGGCAACAATTTTTATGATTTATATCCCCATTGGCTTTCCAAAGGGATCCAAGATAGCTTATGATTTTAACAGGTTACAGATTGTAGTTATTTCTAAGCTGCACAAGGAGTGAGAAAGTAATGTTCAGAGGCTTAGGAGGTGAAGGTGCTTCCTGGCAGGCTTGGGGTTTGAATTTTGACCAGACAGTCACTTTTCTTGACTCTCCTGCCCTACGCTGGCCTATGTGACTTACCAGGATATCCGTGCTGTTGGCAACTTTAAGGAGCAGACAGTGATTGCCGTCAAGGCCCCTCCGCAGACGAGACTGGAAGTGCCCGACAGGACTGAGGTGAGAGGCGAAATATTTGGTGGAGAGCAGGGTTGAGACCCTGCTAGGGAGGGTTCCAGGCAGCTCTGCAGACTCTGTCCCAGGCACTGCCTAGCCCCATGCTTCCCAGGCCCATTCTGGTGACCATGGCAATATTGGTGGCCTTCAAGCTTGAGCAGAAATGGCAGAAGCTGGAAAGGGCAACCGAGACTGAGCAGTGGCCTGAGAAAATCTCTGTTCCTAGTTTCTTCTGCATTCCACCAACTCTGGGTTCCTGCACACATGCACACTCGTGCCCACGTATGACGGTGTCAGTACTCATGAAAATCCCTTCATGCTGACTGTGCTTTCCCAAGTTAAAGACCAAATTTCCTGACACTCCCTATGAGTCTTCGGTGCTCTGACCCCAGCTGGCCTCGTCCTTTTCCCTGCTGCCCCATCTGTCTTTGTTTTGGCCACACTGACCTGTCTGCAGTTACCCCATTGCACTAAGTTCATTCCTAGTATGAGATCTTCTGTTTTATTTTATTTTATTTTAATTATTTATTTATTTGCTTATTTATTTTTGAGACGGAGTCTCATTCTGTTGCCCAGGCTGGAGTGCAATGGCGCGATCTCGGCTCACCGCAACCTCCGCTTTCCAGGTTCAAGCGATTCTCCTGCTTCAGCCTCCCAAGTAGCTGGGATTACAGGCGCCTGCCACTATGCCCGGCTAAGTTTTGTACTTTTTTTAGTAGAGATGGGGTTTCACCATGTTGGTCAGGCTGGTCTTGAACTCCTGACCTTGTGATCCACCCGCCTTGGCCTCCCAAAGTGCTGGGATTACAGGCATGAGCCACCGAGCTCGACCTATTTGATTTTTTTTTAAAGACAGGGTTTTGCTTTGTCACCCAGGCTGGAGTGCAGTGGCATGATCTCAGCCCACTGCAACCTCTGCCTCCCGGGCTCAAGCCATCCTCCCACCTTACCCTCCTCAGTAGCTGGGACCACAGGTGCATGCCACCATGCCTAGCAAATTTTTTGTATTTTTTGTAGTGACGCGGTTTTGCCATGTTGTCCAGGCTGGTCTCAAACTCCAGCGTAGAAGTGGTTTGCCCACCTTGCCCTCCCAAAGTGCTGGGATTACAGGGGTGAACCACCACACCTAGCTGTGCAAGACCTTCATACATGCTCTTCCCCTCAGCTGAAATGCTCTTCCCTCTCTGCCTGGTTTACTGCTCTTCATCCTACAGGTCTCAACTCAAATGTCACTTCCTTAAGGAAGCCTTCTCTGATTACCTCCAGACTTCGTAAACACCTGTGCTTTTCCACTGCCTTTAATCTCCATTTGCTGAGGTATATTTGGCATGATTACACGATTGCATTCTGCTTCATCTATTAGAGTGTAAGCTTCACAAGAGAATGTTCTGCTCACCTTGTATCCCTTGCCCAGAGCCAGCCCCAGGAAGAATGGGGGCTGCAGAGACGATTAACGTCCCGCCCCTCCCCTGGAGGAGTTCAGGACTTAGTGGGAAAAAAACCGCTGTCATTTATAGACAAAAGATGTGCTTTGAGGGCATAGAGAAAGGGTAGTTAGAGGAGGTATCCCAGATAGGAACAGTTAAACTAGGTCTTAAAGAACGAATAGGGTTTTTGCTAGGTGCAGTCCTGTGGGAGGACAGGCATGGAGACCTGGACATGTGCCGGGATGGCAGGCATGTCATCAGTTGTGGCTTAAGTTGTAGTTATGTGGTAGGGAAGAGGCAGAGTGGGAAGGCCAAATATGAGGACTCTTGGTTACAAGTAACAGAAAGCCAAGTCCAACTGGCTTCAGCCGGAGGTATGCGTAGGGGTGGCGGGAAGCAAGTGACAAGACCTGGGGGAGATTCAGAGATTGCGGGCAAGGCTGGATGTAGATGCTCAAACTATGACTTCAGGTCTGTCTCACGCTTTTCATCTCTCTGCTTTTCTCTGTGCTGACTGCATTCCCAGGTGGGCTCTCTCCTTGTGGTGGCAGAGACAGCTTTTATGATACCAGCTCAGCAACCCCAGTGGGAAGGGGGCTCCCATTTCCCACAAGTTCAGCAAAAGTCATGGGCCTAGTGCTGGTTGCATCCATCTGAGCCATTTGCCACCCCGAACCAATCATGTCACACTGACTTTCCTGGCTGCGTCACAAACTCACCCACTGGCATTGGGGAAGGGTTCTACCCCCCTGCCCCAAAGCGACATGACCTGAGAGTGGAGGGAAGGGTGATCTCCCGCAGGAAAATCAAGGTGTTCCCCCTAAAAGAAGTGGGTTTCGGGGCCAGACAGCAGAAACAGCGGAAGGCCACCTTAGGCCAGATGGAGTTGGTCTCAGTGCCAGCCCAGGGGTTGAGCTTGCACCCAGGGATGGCAGCAGCCATGTGCGTCTGTCCATACACACTGAGTGTAAGTGTCCAGCTGCCCAGAGCAATGACCTGGCTTCTCTTCCTCCTTCAGGACAACCTGCAGATATATCTCAAGAGCACCCAAGGGCCCATCGAAGTCTACCTGTGCCCAGAGGAGGTGCAGGAGCCGGACAGTCCTTCCGAGGAGCCCCTCCCCTCTACCTCCACCCTCTGCCCCAGCCCTGACTCTGCCCAGCCCAGCAGCAGCACCGACCCTAGCATCATGGAGCCCACAGCATCCTCAGGTAGGGCCCTTGTCCAGAGGGACAGGAGGTCGGGGGAGCAACCGGCCTTAGTTTTCTCTTCCACATCAATGTTGAAAATCTCCTGTTGTATCCAGCAGCTGGAGATGCAGTATCCTACCCCACACATGTGCATTGTACTTCATGCTTTATAAAGCCCCGCTAGGAAGGCTGGTGCTGCTCCAGGGCAGAGGAAGGCCTGGATCTGAATCCCAGCCCAACCACTTACCAGCTTTGTGACCTTGGACAAGTTACTTCACCTCTCTTGGCCTCAATTTTTCTCATCTGTGAGTTGGGCACAGTAATTAATACTGTCTAACTCATAGGTTGTTGTGAGGTTATAGCTCATGCCTATAATCCCAGCACTTTGGGAGGCCGAGGCAGGAGAATCATTTGAGACCAGGAGTTCAAGAGCAGCCCAGGCAACAGGGATACCCTGTTTCTACAAAAAAAATTTAAAAATTAGACGGGTGTGGTGGCACACGCCTGTAGTCCCAGCTACTCGGGGAGCTGAGGTGGGAGGATCACTTTAGCCATGGAGGTTGAGGCTGCAGTGAGCTATGATCATGCTGCCGCACTCCAGCATGGGCAACAGAGGGAGACCCTGTCTCAAAAATAAAAATAGGAATAAAATTTAAAAAGAATAGGCCAGATGCTGTGGTTCCCACCTATAATCCCAGTACTCTGGGAAGGTGAGGTGGGAGGATCACTTGAGCCTAGGAGTTCAAGACCAGCCTGGGCAACATAATGAAACTCCATCTCTAATAAAAATAAAATAAAATAATAAAATTTGCCCATTAAAAAAAAATTAAGGCATAGAGGTGATGTGTCTTACCCAAGGTCTCCCAGCTGGGAGGCAACAGAGCTGTGTCTTGAACCTTGGTCTATGCACTCCCAGCCCAGTGCTCTCTCCACAAGGCATAGAACAAATCAAAGACGGGGCTTCTGGCTGGGAGGTGGACAGTATGGTTAAGAGCTGGCTACCCCTGGTGGAAGGTAGTACAGGGAAGTTGCCAGGGAGCAGAGTTCCTGAGAGCTTCCCAAAGAGGGTGGGAGTCCAGAAGGAGTACAAATGGAAGCCTGTAAAGTCCGCTCTCCAGAACAGTTTTTGCCTTTTCCTGGGATCACACATCCAGTTAGACTGGCAGGATTCTTCAAGGCTGTGTAGGCCAGTGTTCCACTTTTTGTCTTCTTATTTAGCAGCAGAATTCTCTTAAGTAGAACCGTAGTGTTTAGACAAAGGTAGGTCTAGAGCTGGGCTGATGGAATAGGCTTGCTGGAAGGGTTCTGCAGTACCCTGGTTGTGTCCGTTTCTCTTACTCAGAGGTTAATAAACTATTGCCTGCAGGTCAAATCTGACCTGCTTTTAATGACCCATGAGCTGAGAATGGTTTTACATTTTTAAAGAGTTGTAGGAGAAAGAACAAGAAGACAACTGTGTGACAGAGACCACAAGTGTCCCACAAAACCTAAAATACTCTGAAGCTTTTTTTTTTTTTTTTTTGAGACAGAGTCTCGCTCCGTCACCCAGGCTGCAGTGCAATGGTGCGATCTCGGCTCACTGCAACCTGTGCCTGCCGGGTTCAATCAATTCTCCTGCCTCAGCCTCCCAGGTAGCTGGGAATACAGGTGCCTGCCATCATGCCCAGCTAATTTTTGTGTGTGTGTATGTATTTTTAGTGGAGAGAGGGTTTCCCCATGTTGGCCAGCCTGGTCTTGAACCCTTGACCTCAGATGATCCACCTGCCTCAGCCTCCCAAAGTGCTGGGATTACAGGCTCCAGCTCTTTATAGAAGTTTGCTGTCCCCATCTAACTCAACCCTTCTTTTTACACATGAATGAACAGAGGCCCAGAGAGGGCAAGTGGCTTCCCTAAGGTCACACAGCAAGTTGATGGCAGAGCTGGTACCAGAGCCCAGCCTCCCAACTCTTCTCTAATGATCTCTCCTGTGTCTGTCAGGCCTCATCAGGGACCAGAGCTTCTCCCTGTGCCAGCCATCTGTCCCTCGGGGCACCTCCCCAATGCCTATCTCCCATCCCAGACCTGTGCCCCACCCTCTGGTCCATCCTCCTCCTGCTGTGCCTCCTCACTCAAGTGTTAGCATGCGCATAGCCCTCCAAAGCTGGAATCACCTTCGCTTCAGTTGTCCTCTGAGACGTTGGGTGGAGGTGGCAGATCCCAAAGCATAAACAAGGGTGTGAAGTTGTTTTTTTTTTTTAAGACAGAGTCTCACTCTATCACCCAGGCTGGAGTGCAGTGGCATGATCTCGGCTCACTGCAACCTCTGCTTCCCAGGTTCAAGCGATTCTCCTGCCTCAGCCTTGCGAGTAGCTAGGAGTACAGGCATGTGCCACCACGCCTGGCTAATTTTTGTATTTTTAGTAGAGACAGGGTTTCACCATGTTGGCCAGGCTGGTCTCGAACTCCTGACCTCAGGTGATCCACCCACCTCAGCCTCCCAAAGTGCTGAGATTATAGGCGTGAGTCACCCAGCCCGGCCGGATGGGAAGTTTTTACCTGAGTCTTACAAATCAAGATCCTGAGGCCTAGAGAGGAGTAGAGGCTTACAGAACAATCAGTGGTGGGGCCAGCTCTCATGTCATGGCTGTCCCCACGACCCTTGTCACATAGCCTCAGTGTTACCCTGCTGAAGGGAGGAAGAGGAAGTTTTCCTGGTCTCGGCTCACTGCAACCTCCGCCTCCCAGGTTCAAGCGATTCTCCTGCACAGATACACACACATGCCCCCACACGCGTGTTCCGTGCTGTGTTCTGAAGTAGTGTCATTTTGAGGTCTGAGTGCCAGGGGCCATGTAAGAGAGGAAGCTGCTACAGTCTTGGGACCTGGGTCCTGGCCCTAGTTATGCATTACCAGGGGAAGTGTTCTCTTCAGCCTCAGTTTCCCTCATCTGTAATAGAAGGGGTTTGAACAACATCGTCTCTGACATTTCTCCAGGCTCTGACATTCTGAGATAAACCTAAATATAGCTGATGGCACAGGATTTGAAATTGGGAGACCTGGGTTCAAACCTGTATCTCACCTCTTAGTGACTTGGTGACTGTCAGTGAATCACTTTAACCCCTCGAAGCCTCAGTTCCCACATCTCTCAAATGGGGACACTTGAAATTTCCTCATGAATATTGAGTAGGTTATAGGAGATGATATGGCATAAATGTGCTTTTTTTAAAAAAAGCTTATGTGGCCGGCCGCGGTGGCGCATGCCTGTAATCCAGCACTTGGAGAGGCCGAGGGAGGTGGATCATTTGAGGCCAGAAGTTCCAGACCAACCTGGCCAACACGATGAAACCCCATCTCTACTACAAATACAAAAATTAGCCGGAGGTGGTGGTGCATGCCTGTAATCCCAGGTACTCAGGAGGCTGAGGCACAAGAATCACTTGAACCAGGGAAGCAGAGGTTGCAGTGAGCTGAGATTACATCATTGCACTCTAGCCTGGCCGACAGAGTGAGACTCCGTCTCAAAAAAAAAAAAAAAAAAAGCTTGTGTGAAGAGCATCTACTAGCTGGGCCTAGTGCTGTTTTAGAGACAGAAAGAGCCATTCAGAGTGTGGTGGAGAGACATATTACAAAAGGCGATTCTATTTCTGGACGTGGTCAACAGCAGGAGACAGTAAGGTCTGATCTATAATAGACATTTTCACATGTGTTTTATCAGTTACTGCTTCTAATACTCATCCCTGTTTTTCCACATGAGGAAACAGTTCTGGGGTTCCATGGCTGGTGAGAGGAGGCGCCAGAGTCTGAGCCCACATGCTCCCCGCTCCCAAGCCAGGCCTCTGACTATAACATCAGCAGCGTGCCAAACAAACTTTAGATTTTTTTTTTTAATTCAAATACATTTAATTGACTTATTTGGGCCCTAGTTTTCTCATCTGTAAATAGGGGTAACATGGACTCCCTCAGGGCCGTTTGAGTGTCCAAGGAGGCTAAACCACGCCTCGCCTCAAGGGCAGTGTCACCACCTCCCCCATTAGTCTTGGTAAATGGGAGCAATTTTTTTTTTTTTTTTTTTTTTTTTTTTTTTTTTTTTTTTTTTTTGAGGCTGAGTCTTGCTCTGCCTCCCAGGCTGGAGTGCAGTGGCTTGATCTAGGCTCACTGCAAGCTCCGCCTCTTGGGTTCACGCCATTCTCCTGCCTTAGCCTCCTGAGTAGCTGGGACTACAGGTGCCCGCCAACACATCTGGCAAATTTTGTAGTTTTAGTAGAGATGGGGTTTCACCATGTTGGCCAGGCTGGTCTCGAACTCCTGACCTCAGGTGATCTGCCCACCTCAGCCTCCCAAAGTGCTGGTATAGGCACGAGCCACTGCGCCAGGCCAAACCAGTGCTTCATATGCACTTACCATGCAGTCCTCTGAGCAACCCTTTGAGGTAGGTAGAGCTACCGTGCCCCTTGCAGAGGGGAGGAAGTAGATGCCCTAAAACGTGAAGCCCAGAGCAAGACTCCATCTCAAAATAAATAAATAAATAAATAAGTGAAATCACATGTCCGCGGGTGCACCTCCAGTTTCAACAGGCAGCCTAGCATCCCAGCGCAGTTGTATCTTCAAAATAATACTTGGCTGGGGCTTAAGGAATGACTCCAATGGGGGGAGTTCTGAGCATCAGGATGTATGTGGCAGACAGTTTCCAGTGCCTCATTGCATGTCCCTGTATGGGAAATCACCATCTTACCTCTTAGTGGAAATGAGCAGGCTGGGTGTGGTGGCTCATGCCTGTAATCCCAGCACTTTGGGAGGCTGAGGCAGGAGGATTGCTTGAGCCCAGAAGTTCGAGACCAGCCTGGGAAACAGAGTGAGACCCCATCTCTACAAAAAAGTTTAAAAATTAGACGGGCATGGTGGTATGCACCTGTGGTCCCAGCTACTCAGGAGACTGAAGCGGGAGGATTGCTTGAGCCCAGGAGGTTGAGGCTGCAGTGAGCCGTGTTCACCCTACTGCACTCTGCACTCTAGCCTGGGCAAGACCCTGTTTCCAAAAAAACAAAAAAAAAAAAAAAAGAAAAAAGAAGAAAAAGAAATGAGCTTAGAGTGCTGGAGAATGGCTACTGAAAGGTCAAATAAGATGAGGCCAGATAAATGACCACTGAATTTAGCAGCATGGAGGTCATTGGTTCAGGGACATGGTGGGGAGAGACCCCAGACTGGAGTGAGTTGAAGAGAGAATAGTAATAAGGAAGTAGAGACAAGCTCAGGCTACTCTGGAGAAAGTTTACTGTGCAAAGGAGCAGAAAAATGGGCCAGTAATTGGGGAGGGTGACGAGGTAAGGTATAGTTGTGTGTTGTGGGGAGTAGAGTCAACATAACAAAAATTTGCCATCGTAACTATTTTTAAATGTACAGTTTAGTGGTAATTAATACATTCATAATGTTGTGTAACTATCACCACCATTCATGTCCATAACACCTTGTAAAACTAAACTCTGTACCTATTCCCCATTCCCCTCTCTCCCCAGCCCCTGACAACTACCCTTCTACTCTCTGTCCCTGCGATTTTGACTAAGTATTTCATATAAGTGGAATCACACATATTTGTTTTTTTGTGATTGGCTTATTTCACGTAGCTTAATGTCCTCAGGGTTCATCTATGTTGTAGCATATATCAGAATTTCTTTCCTTTTTGGCCGGGCGCGGTGGCTCAGGCCTGTAATCCCAACACTTTGGGAGGCCAAGGGAGCCGGATCACTTGAGGTCAGGAGTTTGAGACCAGCCTGGTCAACATGGTGAAACCCCATCTCTACTAAAAATACACAGATTAGCTGGGTGTGGTGGGGTGTGCCTATAGTCCAGCTACTCGGGTGGCTGAGGTGGGAGAATTGCTTGAACCTGGGAAGTGGAGGTTGCAGTGAGCCGAGATCACAACACTGCACTCTAGCCTGGGTGATAGAGTGACACCCGGTCTCAGAAAAATAAAAAGTACATGAAAAGGGGTAGGGTTGGGTGTACTCTGGAAGGTGGATTTTGAGAGCAGGGCATTGCACCCAGGCTGAGGAGAGAGGAGAAGGGTGCAGTCGTCCAGAGAACCGGAAGTCTGTCCTCGTGTGCTGAGGGCTTGGATGCCAGGGCCAGGCGTAACCTTTGTCTGTTTGTCTCCAGTGCCAGCGCCAGCGCCAACCCCCCAGCAGGCCCCACCGCCTCCATCCCTGGTCCCCTTGGAGGCTACTGACAGCATGCTGGAGCTGCCGCACCCACTCCTGCAGCAGACTGAGGACCAGTTCCTGTCCCCGACCCTGGCGTGCAGCTCCCCTCTGATCAGCTTCTCCCCGTCCTTGGACCAGGACGACTACCTGTGGGGCTTGGAGGCGGGTGAGGGCATCAGCGACCTCTTCGACTCCTACGACCTCGGGGACCTGTTGATTAATTGAGTGGCCCTGCCTGCCCCCAGCAGCCTGCCCCCGACTCTACCTCCTCACAAACAGGCTGACAGGCCCTCTGCCTGCACAGGGACATTGGACACTAGGTGCTGCCCTCAGGGAATGGGGTCTCCTCGCCTTTCCCACCCCAGCCGGCAGAAGCTGTGTGGGGAGATGTGAATGGTACGGGTGAGGAGGGGATAAGGGTGTGGGTCCTCACCTTCCTAATGGAAGCTGGGCCTGGGGAGGCCCATCCAGTCTTCTGACCTCTGACCTCTCACGAGAAGGCTGCAGGTGACGTGGCCAAGTCCAGGGAAAGGCCCTGCTACCTCCTTTTGAGGGGTAATTAGGACCCTCGACGTACCAAGAAGCACTTAATGCCTTTGTATTTATTTCAGGTTGAGTGGTTGGTTTGTGCTCCCTGAGTTTTAGCAGGGAGGTTGTTCTAGTTTTTAGTGAGGCCTCCGCAGACAGGCCCATCAGGGCCCATCGCTGTCCATGTTCCAGGGCAGGTCTGGGTTTCCAAGGGAGGGACCCAGGCCACGTCCCTGGTTTCCCCACAGTGGTGGGGCTGGGTCTCTGAAGGGCTGTCCAGTCGGCCGGAACGCTAATTGCACTTAGGCCTCACAATTCTAGTAAACGGCAGCTGTGGGCCCTTTCGCCTCTCCCCCTGTTCTTGGCCTCACATCTCCAGCTGAGCCGCCGGTCTTGGCTTCCTGGTCACCTCTGTCCCAGAGATGGTTCCAGGGAGCCATCCTAAGGCAGGTAGCACTGTGGCTCCTGTGGAAACAGGAGCCACCTGCTCAGGAGACCCCTTTCCTGAGGAAGTCCTTACCTCTCCCTCCCTTTGAGATGTAAAAATGGTCCAGCAGAGACAAGCTCCCAAGGAAAACAGACAGGAACATGGGGGCAGCTGTCATGGCTGTGACGGGCACCTTTCCTCAGAGTTTCTGCCTTGCTGTGGTCCAGGAGCCATTTTGCACCAAGGACTTGGTAGGCAGAGGCAGCCCCACTGTAAAGAAGGGTCAGATTAAAACAAAAAACTGCCCAAAGCATCCCCTCCGCCCCCCGATGTGGCGCTGGCATCATTCTCTGCTTCCCTGGGAGGAAGTTTTTCACCATGTTATTGAAGGGGATGGTTCCTTAAGGACCGCTCCACCCCTCAGAGCTCACTCAGACCCCCAAGGACAGAGGTGACTGGGGCTTGGTGACTTGTTCACCCCTTTTTTCCCAGGTATACTGAAGGGGTGACAGAGAGAGGTCTTCATGGCAGACCAGGCCTTCGCAGCTAATGGGGAGAGGAACTCATGTTACCTCTTCAGGCCTGGGGTCCTAAGGGGGTCTTTTGGCTTCAGCCTATTCCCCCGGAGGCTTGATCATCCCACATTGTCCCTGCAGCCCAGCTGCTCTTGTCCTCCACTCACCCTGGGATGTGGGTGCTCTGGGCTGAACCAAGGCCGTGCCTTCTGGAGAGAGGCGCAGGGGTTGGTCTGAGAGGCCTGCCACCCACCCCTCAGGGAGCTAGGTTTTCTCAGAGGCTCAGCTGGACAGCACTTTTTAAAAAAGTCTGTAGCATTAAGCTGGTTTCATATATGAAGTTGGTTTTGTTGGATGGCTCCTGAACTAACTGACTGATGTCTGAAGTTTGAGACGGGGGATTATTTCAGGGTGGGGCCCAATGTGATCTAATGCCCGGTTGGGGACAATTGTGCCTCTTCATTTGCTCAAATTCCTGGGCCCCCAAGTTAGCCCCCTCCCGGGAGTGGTCAGCAGGTCACAGCTGCCCCCACTCTATAAGCAAGGCTAATTTTGTACCCTTTACAGAAATACTTTTGGTCTCCCCTCCCCAAATACAAGGGTCTTATCAGAAGCCCATCTTAAAGTCCAGCATGCTCAGGGACCCGGCGTGGGATCTCGTTTGGGGTGAGTGGTCTGCTCTTCTGAGGTCTCCACTGGGCTGCCATTTAGCCATGTGCCATCCCTGGAGCCAGAGGTGTTTGACTCCCATCCCTTGGGCTCTGTCTGGAGCTTTCCCCAAGAATTACATCAGAGAAAAGGAAGAAGAGGCCTGCAGGACCCATTGGGAATGAGTTTAATACTGAAGTCTGGAATGTAAGCTCATGCCTTAAACACCTCTCCGTATGGCTGGACAGGGGAGCTGCCCTCAGGCTTGTGCCCTGTGTCCTCAGCAGCTGTCTCTGTCCCCCTCTACTGTCCCTTTCACACCTTGCCTGGCCACGGGGCTAGACCTCCCAGGCTAAGCCTCAGATTCAGTGCAGAACGCAATCTCATGCCCGCTTCCTGCCAGTGACACTTGAAGCCTCCCGACTTCCACAGAGCGCTTTCAGAACACATTTTGAGTGGTATTTTCTTTTTTTTTTTTTTTTTTTTTTTGAGGCGGACTCGTTCTGTTGCCCGGGCTGGAGTGCAGTGACCTGATTTCGGCTCATTGCAACCTCTGCCTCCCAGGTTCAAGTGATTCTTCTGCCTCAGCCTCCCAAGTAGCTGGGACTATAGGCATGCGCCACGACGTCCGGCTAATTTTGTATTTTTGGTCGAGACGGGGTTTTGCCATGTTAGTCAGGCTGGTCTTGAACTCCTAACCTCAAGTGATCCACCGCCTCGGCCTCCCAAAGTGTTGGGATGACAGGCATGAGCCACCAGGCCCAGCCTGAGTGGTATTTTCTTTAGGGACCAGGTAGACTTTAAAACTAGGGTAGGAGAAAAACCAGTTTCTTTCTGAGGTAAATAATTTCTGCCAGGAAACTTCCCAGCCCCACCAGCAGCCCCCGCAAAATCATCCATGTCCTCAGGGATGTCTAAAGCTTGGGGCTCCAGGAAATCATCCAGTAGAGTTGGAGATTCAGAGATTTCTTGAAGACAAGAACATGCTCCTAACTTCCTTCCCATTAAAGGTGTTAGACCAGAGGGTGTTCCTTTTCCATAGTAATGGGATCAGCTGGTGTGCCTGCAGGGAGGAAGAGGGAGGTGGTCAGGCTTGAAAAACTGGCTTTAGGATGGTTCTGACTTTGTTCTCCCTCCCCTAGTGTTCTCAGCCTCCATTCTGCAGTGTTTAGAGTTTTAGGAAAGGGTTTGGGTGCCCCAGCATCCAGGTGTTGTGTGGCTTAGCGCAGGTGAAGTGAAAACCTTTTGTGGTTGTTTGGAAGCAGCTTTCTGGTTCTTGTCATTGTATCCTGAGGTCCCAGAACCCTACTCTCCCACGAGGACCCTCAGTGACCATGATGGCCATAAGCCTGGCCAGCCTGCTGACTCCTGGATGAGCTGAAGAACCTTGCCTGTGGCACTTTTCGAGGGTGAGCTGGACCCGAGAGAACATGGTCCCCGTGCTGGGACTCATGCGGGTCAGTTCCTGTGGCCTGGTTTCGCTGGTCCTGTCTTGATGAGCACCATGTAAGCCTCCTTGTATTGAGATAATTGGGCATTAAACATTAAACTGCAACTCTGGGCATCTTGTCTTTGTGGATCTGGCCCCCCAAGCTGGGTGTTGGGGGCTGTCCTGGCCAGTGCTGGGGGCGCATGATTGCCCAGTGGATTTCCCTCCAAGAAACAGCCTCTTATCACCATGCCTACAATCTCACCATTAAGGCATTGAAAAGTTCGCAGCACCCAGATCTAAACTGTGATCAGCCTTGCCTCTGTCACCTCCCATCTGGGTTATTTCCACAGCTTCCTGAATGGTCTTGCTGCCCACACTCTCCATCCCACCCTCTACATCAGTGCGTCCAACTGTAGTCCTCAGACCAGCAGCAGCAGTATCATCTGGAAATGTGAGGCACGCATATTCAAGACCATACCTCAGTCTGGGTGCGGTGGATCACTTGAGATCAGGAGTTCAAGACCAGCCTGGCCAGCATGCTGAAACCCCATCTCTACTAAAAATATTAAAAAATTAGCCGGGCGTGGTGGTGGGTGCCTGTAATCCAAGCTACTGAGGAGGCTGAGGCAGGAGAATTACTTGAACCCAGGAGGCAGAGGATGCAGTGAGATCACACCGCCACACTCCAGCCTGGGCTACATAGTGAGACTGTCAAAAAAAAGGCTGGGTGCAGTGGCTCACACCTGTAATCCCAACACTTTGGGAGGCCAAGGCGGGCAGATCACAAGGTCAGGAGATCGAGATCATCCTGGCTAACACGGTGAAACCCCATCTCTACTAAAAATACCAAAAAAAAAATTAGCTGGGCGTGGTGGCAGGCACCTGTAATCCCAGCTACTCGGGAGGCTGAGGCATGAGAATGACTTGAACCCAGGGGGTGGAGGTTGCAGTGAGCCGAGATGGCGCCATAGCACTCCAGCCTGGGTGACAGAGCGAGACTCCGTCTAAAAAAAAAAAGACCTTGCCTCAGACCTGCTGAATAAGAAACTCACAGGGTGGGACTCAGAATTTCTGAGGTTCCATGAATCTCCCAGGTGATTCTAATGCAGGTGAAGTTTGAGCTGACTTCTGCTACCCCACAGAGATCTTTCTACACTTGATCTTAGCCAAAAGGCTAAGAAGCAATCCCCAGAGAGATCTTTGCAAAATGTAGTTCTAATCATGTTACTCTCCTGCTTAATGCCCATGCATGACTCCTCTCTGCCCTCAGGATGAAGTTCTAACCCTTTTGTGTGGTACGAATGGCTATTTACAACTTCCAGCTGGCTTCCTCTACCTTACCTGTGGCCTCCCTGGCCACCCTTTCCCACCACCATTGCCACACTGGGCTTCCTTGTCATCTCCTGAAATCGACATGTCTTCCCTCTTCTGGGCCTGTCTATATGCTGTTCCTTCCACCTAGGATGCCCTGTGCTCCATTTCAGCTGAGTGGGCGCCTACTTATTCTTCAAGGCCCAGTTCAAGAATCTTTTTTGTAGTTTTCTTGACATAACGTGTAATCATTAGTACTTTGCACATGGACATCGTTATAGCTTACTGAATATCTATTACATGTTGGGCACTGAGAAGATAAATATGAATAAGACCTAGTCCCCATTTTCAGGATGCTCACAAAACACAAACATAAAAATGTAATTATAAGTAATGTAACAATGGTAGTGATTGGTATACATTACAGGAGTTGGTGGGAGGGGGATTGGTCATTTTGGAAGGCTTCCTGGCCTTCATATACCATAATGTCATTTAATGCTCACAACAACTTCAGGAAATCAGAGTTACTCTTATAATCACTTTATAGATACGGAAACACTCAGAAGTTCCCAAGTAAGCCTCATACATTGTTGGGAATGTAAAATTTGAAGCCACTTTAGAAAACAGTTTGGCAGCTCCTCAAAAAGATAAACATAAAACTACCATAAGACCCAATTTTACTCCTAGGTATAGAATTATTCCTACTTGAAGTAGGTTCATTTCTACTTCAAGAGAAATGAAAACATATGTCTATGCAAAGACAAGACTTGGACACACACTTGGACACAAATGTTTCTAGCAGCGTTATTCATAATAGCCCCAAACCAGAAATACCTAAATATCTATCAACTGGTGAACAGATAGACAAAATGTATTAGATTCATACAGTGGAATACCATTCAATATACAGAGGAACAAAGTACTGATACATGATACAATATGATCCTCAAAAACATGGTGCTAAATGACAGAAGCAAATCACAAAAGATCACATATAATTCCATGTACATGAGACATGAAGAACAGAAAAATCTACAAAGAATAAGTAGGCTGGGCGCGGTGGCTCACGCGTGTAATCCCAGCACTTTGAGAGACGAAGGCGGGTGGATTACCAGAGCTCAGGAGTTCAAGACCAGCCTGGGCAACATAGTGAGACCTCGCCTCAACAAAAAACAAACAAAACTAGCTGGGTATGGTGGTACATGCCTGTGGTTCCAGCTACTTGGGCTGCTGAGGCAGGAGAATCACTTGAACCCAGGAAGTAGAAGTTGCAATGAGCCGAGATGGTGCTGCACTCCAGCCTGGGTGACAGAGTAAGACCCTGCCTCAGAAAGAGAGAGAGAGAGAAAGAATGAAAGAAAGAACGAAAGAAAAAGAAAGAGAGAGAGAGACAGAAAGAAAGAAGAAAGAAAGAAAGAAAAAGAAAGAAAGAAAGAAAGAAAGAAAGAAAGAAAGAAAGAAAAGAAAGAAAGAAAGAAAGAAGTAAGTAAAGAAAGAAAAAGAGAAAAATTTTTGAAAGATTGGTGACTGTGATTGCCTGAGGGGTTGGGGTAGGAATGGGATTAATTATAAATGAGGATGAGGGCTCTTATAAATAGAGATGCAAAAATTTTCAACAAAACACAAGCAAACCAAATCCAGCAACATATAAATAAAAAGAATTACACTTCATCGGACTTATCCCAGGAATGCAAGATTGGTTTAACATCCAAAAATCAATTAGTGTAATACGCGTATCTGTAAAATAAAGGACGAAAACCACGTGATCATCTTAATAGATGCAGAAAAAACTTGAAAAAATTTCACACCCCTTCATGATTTAAAAAAAAAAAAATCCAGAAACTGAAAATAAGAAACTAGGAATAGAAAATAACTTTCTCAACCTGATAAAGAGCATCTATGAAAAACCCACAATTAGTGTCATACATAATGGTGAGATACTGAATGCTTCTCCCCCAACCCTGGCCCCAAGATCAGAAACAAGACAAGGATACCCACTCCCTCCATTTCTATTTAACATTGTACTGGAGGTTCTAGCCAAGACAATTAGGCAAGAAAATAGCATGGGGAGCAACTAGATTGATAGGAACAAGCAAAATCATCTCTATTTGCAGACAATGTAGAAAATTCTAAGGAATGCATTAAAGAACAACTAATAAAAGAGTTTAATAAGGTTGTAGGATAAAAGATCAGTATACAAAAATCAGTAGTATTTCTATACATTGGCAATGAACAACCCAAATAATAAAAGTAAGACAACACTGTCTTTTACAGTAACACCAAAAATAATAAAATACTTATAGATTTAGCAAAAGAAGTGCAAAACTTATACTCTGAAAACAATAAAGTACTAAATAATACTTTGTATTTTAATTGAAAGAAATTAAAGAGTACCTTAGTAAATGGAAAGACATTTTATATTCATGGATTGGAAGACTTAATATTGTTAAAATGGCAGTATTTCCCAAATTGACTTCCAGATTCAATGTAGTCACCATCAAAATTCCAGCGGGCTTTGCAGAAATTGACAAGCTGATCCTAAGATTCATATGGAAATTCAAGGGACTCAGAATAGCCGAGATAATCTCTCTTTCTTTTTCTTTTTTTCTTTTTTTTGAGAAAGAGTCTTGCTCTGTTGCCCAGGCTGGAGTGCAGTGGCGTGATCTCGGCTCACTGCAAGCTCCACCTCCCGGGTTCAGGCCATTCTTCTGCCTCAGCCTCCCGAGTAGCTGGGACTACAGGCGCCCGCAACCATGCCCGGCTAATTTTTTGTATTTTTAGATGTATATTAGAGACAGGGTGTCACCGTGTTAGCCAAGATGGTCTCGATCTCCTGATCTTGTGATCCGCCCACCTCGGCCTCCCAAAGTGCTGGGATTACAGGCGTGAGCTACCGTGCCTGGCTGATAATCTCGATAAGAAAAACGAAGCTAGAGAACTTCCCAATTTCAAAACTTACACAAAGCTACAGTAGTCAACACAAGCATAAGGATAGACAAATAGATCAATGGAATATAATTGAGAGTCTAGAAATGAGCCCTCATTTATAGTCAATTGATTTTTAAGAAGAGTGCCAAGACAATTCAATGGAGAAAGAAGAATTTTTTTCAACAAATAACCCTGGGACAATTGGATCTACACGTGAAAGAATGAAAGCTGGATCCCAGTACTTTGGGAGGCCAAGGCAGGTGGATCCCTTGAGGTCAGGAGCTCAAGACCAGCCTGGCAAACATGGTGAAACCCCGTCTCTACTAAAAATACAAAAATTAGCCAGGCATGGTGGTGCATGCCTGTAATCCCAGCTACTCAGGAGGCCGAGGCAGGAGAATTGCTTGAACCCGGGAGGCAGAGGTTGCAGAGCAGAGATGGTGCCACTGCACTCCAGCCTGGGTGACAGAGCAAGACTCTTGTCTCAAAAAAAAAAAAAAAAAGAAAGGGAATGAAGTTGGACCCCCTAACTCACAACATATACAAAATTTGACTCAGAAATGCATCAAAGATCTAAATATATAAGCTAAAACTATAAAACTTTTAGAAAAAAGCATAGGCATAAATCTTTGTGACCTTATATTAGGCAACAATTTCTCACTTTTTTTTTTTTTTGAGACAGGGTCTCATCTCTCACCCAGGCTGGAGTGCAGTGATGTGAGCACAGCTCACGGCAGCCTCAACCTCCTGGGCTCAAGCAATCCTCCTACCTCAGCCTCCTGTGTAGCTGGGACTACAGGCACTACTTGCCTGCCATCATGCTCAGTTAATTTTTAAATTTTTTATAGAGACAGGGTCTTCCTGTGTTGCTCAGACTGGTCTTGAACTCCT